TATTACTCAGTATATACTCAGTAAATATTACTTAATATGTTCATTTTAATTACTCAGAATAAAATGCAGCCAAACAACCAGACAAGTAAACACGGTCTGGTGTGATAAGATTCATATCAAAACAGAAAATTATGTAATGCACGCGTTGCCTCGGCAGCGCGCGAGCCGCGCGGTCACACAAACAATATCAATCTCCTTGGAGAAAGATAGCTGCAGCAACGAGCTCTCACTCAGAGGGGGAAGAACCCACAGCGTGGGCTCCCGAACCCCGAGAGAGAGCACTAGATCTAGGGAATGCGGGTGGAAATAGGGAGAGCCCGTCTCCAAACCATCCGCCAGATCATGTGCGATCCCCGCGATCTGAATCGCCGCTGTGCCTCAGCAGCAGCGGGACTGGAACCGCAAGATAACAGGCACGGACAACACTCCTCGGAGCGTGCCCAGCAAGAGCGGAGCATTTTGCAGCGGGAAAAGCACAATCAGCCTCTCCGCTCCCCAGTAATGCTGCTCGTTATAATATTAGACATAATATGCTTGTGAAACTGGTGCTTGTGCAACTGGCGAGCTCATCAACGCCCTCCACATCAACCTCCTCAGAGGAAGACAGGCGGAGCGTCGAGCCCTCTCCCCAGGGGGAAGAACCGCTGTGTGGGCTTCCGATCCCAGAGAGCGGACGCTGGATCATATGCGAACCCCACGAGCACAGCCGCCGCTCCGCCTCGGCGACAGCGGGGCCGGCACCGCGAGGAAGGCTGGTGAAGGCTCCCTCCTCAAAGAGAGCCTTCCGAGAGCGAAGCATACGCAGTAACATACGCTCGCAATACGGGCAGTCAGCTCCCTCGAGAACTGACTCTGCGTGCTTCGCTCCCAAGCAGACAACACACAAACTGTGTGTGTCCCCACCCGAAATATAGCGCAGGCAGGGTGGAACACACAGCCTGAACGCTGCCTGCTCTCGCCCAAATGCTTCTTCTTGGCTAAAGCTTTGACATAATGGAGCTTATACGTGGACAAACAACACTAAATAAGACTCACAACAAATAGCAACCGACACACACTCAGAGCGCTTGCTGAATGACAGAAAGCTGACGCCAGTTCCACCGCACGTGCTTTTATAGCTTCCTGGTCTCTACGTCTCGCCCTTCCATTGGACTGATTTTACATGTGATTCAGAGCGTGGTCACGCTGAAGGTATTCCCAATGCATTTTCCGACGCAGCTCGAGTTCCTGAAGGGGAACTACTAATAACCCAACAACTTCATAGCAACACCAAGCAAAATCCAAACACCTAGAAACACACTAGCAACTGCCTAGTAGTAACACCATAACAAAAACATAGCAACCCCCTTGGACAAACCTAGAAACACATAACAACAGGCTAACATCTTATTAGCATAGCAAAACCTTGGCAACCACCTAATGAAACTACTTAGCAACCATCTAGCTACACCCTGGCAACCACCCCATATATAAAGATATAAACTTGCAATGCTGACTTTTTTTCCTCATAATTGCGAGTTTATATATTTTTATAAAAAAGTCAGGACTGCAAGATGTAAACTCGCAATTGTGAGAAAAAAGTGAGGATTGTGAGATAAAAAGTGGTATGTAATTGCCTTGATGTGTTTTATGTTAACATGATGGAAAAGTAGGAGAACTGTATTACCAGCCACTCAAAGGTTCACTGAGTACAGGCTCACGAGATCTTGATAAGCTTTTTGAAATATTCATTCATGTTGTAAAGACACTGTTCTCCAATTGAAATCTATTGCAGTGAACTGGAAGCGGCTGTTAATATTTAAACCACCACACTGCACTAAATTAAACAAGCAGGTTAACGTCTTGCAACATTTAAAGTTTTCTCTCATCCTGTAACGACATTCATGTGGAGCCTTGAGGGGATTTATCGAGTGCTGCCATCATTATGGCATGTTACAGACACAAGTACTCATGACACTAACACACGCCCGGTTGCCTACCGCCATGGTTCACTGGTTGATCTGTCACACACTAGTGCTCTGTGCGTTAATGTGCAGCCTCTGACAGCTAAAAGGAATCTAAAAGGCTTCAAGGAACAGCTTGAACTCCTTAGTCAGCTGTTCTGGACAGTAAACAGCCGACTGCAGAATAGTGCCTCGCAAAGAGACGGCGGGATTACACGAATGAAAGCTGATTCATCTTAAAAGAATATTGCACCTTAAAATCACCTGCTACTTAACTCACCATTTTTCATGCCACTTCTACTTCTCTCACTAATTTGTAAGTTAACAAGCAAGACATCTAAAGTTCATTTAAATATAAATAAGTAAATAATAATAAAGTAATATAAAAAGTGTGGTGTGGTATATGCCCTGTCAGTCGCCATTCCTCGTCTTAAAGGGGTAGTTCAGCCAATATTATAGATCACTGCATTGATGACATAAGGGCCTTTCGCACCGCAGGAACCTTTTCATAGTACCAGAACTAATTGTGGAACTACCCACTTTTTGGCGTGTTCGCACCACCGGAACTGGGAGCGATTTTAGTACCGCACTGCCTTTTTCGAGAACCAAATTAGCTCCTACTCCGGAGCAGGGTCTAACCAGCACAACTGGTACTAATCGTGACGTAAGTAGACATTGTTGGTGGGTCAACCCGGAAGTTTGCATCATCCTGGTTCCTCTACAAAAACTTAATAGGATTTTAACATTGGTTTTTGGAATATTAGAGAAAATGAGCTCTGTGACAACCATTAATATCCACATGAAATCAAATTACTTTGTAAGCGCATATTGCTAGTCTAGTCAATACACAGAATTTTTTATTTTTAATGTAAAAATAAATAAATTTCCTTGTTAATAATCAAAATCAGAAAATGTGTCTCTGCTCTGTAATGGCGTTTATTCTCTGATGACTCAATGATCATCATATTGTTGATTCAAAATTCCCTTTCAGTTAAAAATATGTCACAATAGTGAAACAAAGTTGGTAGCAACTTCCAATTCACGTTGACTTTAAGCTTCCAACAACTCTTTCAGGCTTTATTTTAGAATTTAGAATAGCTTGCAAGAGTGTGATTATAAACACAATGAGCTGTAAAAGCGACTAGTTAGAAGATGAGTTTACTTATCCGTTGTGTTGAACAAACTCTGTAGTCCCATTTAGCCACTTATTTAACCAAAAACCAATTTAAAAACCCATTGACTTCATAATAATGGAACCGGAAGTGCTAAAATGCTAACTCATTTTCAGGCTTTGCCTACAAAAAATACCTGCAGCACAATATTATTTACTCCCCTTTCTGTCATTCTATTTTTTACATAATTTTTTCTGTGGCACACAAAAGCGAAAACATCTTTAAGAGCTGTCATGTGGCGAATTTTCACAGGTGAAATCCAGCCATTTCAAGAGGAATCCATGTGATCTGGAATTTCATCGAAAGATTTCCTTACACAGATTTCACATACGGATCAGTTGGTTTTAACCAACAGAAAGCTGCTTGGTTTGAAAGTGACTTTGCATGTTTGTGTAGCATGGAAAAAATAAAAGCATACTGGTTTGGAACGACACATGAGGGTGAGTAAATAATGACAGAACTATCTGTCTCAGGTGAAATAGTCCTTTACATTTAGTATAATGAATGATTTGTGCAATAAAGATCTATTAAAGCTGCTTTGCTTATCACTGATTATTGCACCTTTGCAGAATGAAGTCATGATGTCTAGATGGTAACCATCATTCTGTTACATTCAGATACTGTTTACTTGGAGTCCTACAACAACACAAGCCAACACTTAACCTTTAGCAGCAGCACATGCAAATCTACAGAATGAGGTTTGTCATCTAAACACCACATCATGATCATCTTGATTTAGGCAGATAAATATAGTAGGTGTCTAAACATTTGCAGTCTGTGACTCAAAGTCTAATTTAAACATGGAAAATTTTACAAAGCATTATAATGTAACATTAAAAAGATATATAGAAGGTTAAGTCAATATTAGGTCAAGTAAGCAAATTTGTAGCAGATGCGTACAAGATGCTCGTTTGAACATGATGACATCAATCATCAGATTCTACACAAACTTGGATATCAAATGAGAAATTATGAAATAAATGTAGGCATTTCACTCACAATGCCATGCTGATAATATCACTTGTAATAAAATTGTTTATCAAATGAAAAAACACGCTAAATTTCCACTAGTGTTCCCAGATTCTGGACTCCATTGTGTGTAGATGAAAATATATGTTGTGTTACATCATGATGCATCTGCCAAAAAAGAAGGAAAAAGCTCTGACATCACAACGCAGAAAACTACATTTTTCAATAGGAATGTGCAACATCAGAGAGATCATTATTTCATGTGAACGTGGGGATGTTAGAGTGAACGCTGCTAGTTACAACGTTTACAAGAACTTGCTTGACATCTTCCGAGTTAAATCTTACACTCTCAGAAAAAAAAGGTACAAAAGCTGTCACTGGGGTGGTACCATTTCAAAAGGTACTAATATGTACCATTTAGGTACTAATAAGTAAAAATGTTGTATTAATATGTGCATTTAAGGTACTAATAGGCATCCTTTTCGGGTACATAAGGTACAAAAGTATAACTTTTTGAAAAGGTACCGCCCCAGTGATGGCTTTTGTACCTTTTTTTTTCTCAAAGTGTAGTGTGTGAAGCTGTTGTGAATCTGATCCCAAGCCAGTTGCTCACTGTTTGCTCACATTTTAGTGCATTTTCTTTTTCGTTGGCACACTTTTACCTTCTGCAGATCAGCCAGTGCAGAAAATATGCTAAAAGCATCAAGGAAATTATTTGTAGGCCTCAACATCTACTAAATGATTTACAATGCAACCCGGCAGTAAAAACTCATAGACTTGCACATGACTGAAACATGTTTGATAAAATGTTTTTTATTGATATTAAAAATGAAAGTACATGAATTGTGCATTTCGGACGTTCTAGCGTGCAGAGGTTAAATCAATTAAAATACACAAAGGCTGCGTGGGCTCCTGATATTAAACCATTGCCAATGAAAGACAAATGATCCCTTCATTTTGAGCACAAAAGCATGTGTTTTCCTTACATGCCTTTTTATGCACGGAAAGTTAAGTAACCAGTTTGGAAATAACAGCAATGGATGCAGTCCTTGCAGGAATAACAACAGAAAAATGGCGATGTCTTCGGAAATATGGGATGTTTGAATAATAAAAATAATGATAGTAATTACAATAATTGCACTGCTTCATCACAACTGATATGAATCAGATAAATACTGGATTATCAAGGCAGAGGGATACACTGCAGGCACTTAGACCTTTAAGTTTCCAGGTACTAAGCGATACTATAGTATCATTTAATGACCTTAAAGATGGGGCACATACAAGAAACGATACTGACTTATTGTGCTTGGCTGAGAAACTGCAAAAAAAAATTGCCTTGTATTGGGTTTTTCACATAAATCCACTAATATTTCCTGAGTATTTGGGTATCTAAGTACGGTAGCCCTTCGACAACTGAGGTGAAGATACATGGAGGACACCCCAACCGAAAAGGAAATAAGAGGATTTAGGGCACATTATTGTAAGATGGCGAGACTGAGGGGATGTATAAACAGTCCACTCTTTGTGACATCATAATGGATCTTGGTGACATCATATTGGTTTGGTTCTTACTTTGCTTTCTTTTGTGGAATACCTTAGAGAAGCCAAAAAATGACGATACGACAATGAAAACGGCACTAAAGTGGTTTAAACTGTAGTGGGTTGTATACAATCACGGCATATAGAGACCGGGTTATCCAGATCCTCGTGAGGAAAGTTAAACACAAGGTTTTTTTGTAGTTGTTTTTGTTTTTTTATAAACAGAAATCCATTTGGCAGATTAAAAAGCCATGCGGGAGGAAGAGAAAGAGAGAGAGTCTTCTGAGTATGTGCCTATTTTTGCATTATAACATGCCTAAGCTATCCAGGCTACAGCTGCTGTTAAAATATTGATTTTAAAATAGCTCTGTGGTGAACCGAAAGGAAAAAAAGGAAAACATTTTTTTTTTTTTTTGGTACAAAGCATCTACAAAAAGCATTTACATGTAAAATGGGAAAATAAGAGAGCATATAAAATAAAATCCATCAGTTGAGCATCAGTGCTATGTATATTACTGTATTTGGACCGATTTTAATATATAATTTTATAACAAAATAAATAATGCCTTTATACAGTGCCCATATTTGTACTTAAACAAACAAAAAGAAGCTTGGCGGCTCATTACGCAAGATACAGCTCAGACTAAAAGAATATTACATGATGTCCCTGGAAACTAATTATAATATATATTTCCATATTTATTTCATATATATTTATATATATATTCAAGTATTTGTTTTCAGGCAAAAGCATGTGAATACTACGGATAAACGTTAAAAATATATGTTAGTTGACATTATTGCATTTTTTCCCTTTGAATTGATATTTGTGCCTTTTTTTTCAGAACTGTAAAATAACGTTACAAAAACACAAAGCCAATTTTGCAACAACAAGAATGTCACGGTACCAGAAACCAAACTGGATCTTTTTTTTTTTCTTCTTTTCTTTTTTTACTTTTTTCCTTGAAGCATTTTCACGAAAAAGAACATAGAAAATACAAACATCCCACTTTTTCAAGATCACAATGTCCCTCATCCTGCAGTGCAAAGCAGGGGTTTTGTGCAGCCACGCTCGAAAGGAGGTGAGTTCTCCACATCCTGGCGCTCGAACGTGATCCCTTCGGCGTCCCCACACTGCTCCTTCCTTTATCGCAACGGCACGCCAGGATCCAATGCATACGTTGCGTCTTATGTACACGTTTGCATGCAGCGATATCCCTCGTGCTCTTGTTTTCTCTTTCAAAAGTCACACTTTCCTTAAAACGGAAAGTTTAATAAAGTTTCAAAGGAAAGAAAAAAAAAAAAAACGTGCTTTTTCAAAAAAAAAAAAACGGGCTTTTTCAACCCCTTCTCCTTTGAGTCCGTTCCCAAAGCTAGCACCATGACATTTTTTTGAGCTACACGTTCATAGTCCATAAAAAAATAGTGCCTTTTTTATTTACTTAACAAGAACTTTGACGTAATCCGTGGCGATGTGCAATTTGCAGACTCTTCTCTGCTTTTCATTTGTGATTACAAGGTGCTTGAACAGGAATCTAATTTTACAACAATTCCTTACAGTGTGGATGTCCCTTTATAGTTACAGGTGCAAACTAATATGTAAAAGGACTAAAAGAGACATACTTTTGTCTCGGGAGAATGCGGTGGAATGGGTTCTTTCATGCTAGCTCAAGCTGTTCCTCGCGCTCTGATGTCCTCCAAACCGGCGAAACGTTCGGCGTTCCGTGGCTTCTTCGTTTTTTTCCTTTGCTTCTTCACCTGAATTGCGTTCCTTTCGTTTGTGATGTGACTTTTTGTTGGTGAACGAAACAGCAAGAATAGAAACTGGAAGAGCATGTGAGCACGTCTGGTGGGGAAGGAAGAAGGGTTGATGAGGACTGCCATAGAAAGGACGTCAGAGACAAAAAAGCTTTGATCCCCTAGTCTTTTTTTCATCGACTCCGTGCAAATGATCCTGGTTTCACTTGTGGCTGACGTAGTCTTCTGTCGGATGAAGGATGGGCGGCAGCTTGCTGGGAAGCGTGATGAGAGGCCTGTGGTGGTGCAGTTGCTCCTGGGCCCTGATTCTCTCCGCCTGCCGCCTAAACTTCTTGGCCCGCAGGATGGCGGGGACACCCCTCCGTAGCCTCTGGGCGGCCTTTCGTTGCCACATGTCGTATTTGGAATATTTCACGGTCACGTGTTTTCTTGGGACCTCCTGTTTCAAAATAATAATAACATTAGGAAATGACTCTAGAGAAAGGTCAAAATTCTCACAGTTTCTACAGCATCATCGAAAGCACTGACAAGGTTCAAAACTCTCTAAAACTTAAACTTCTTAAAACTCTCTAAAACTAAGACTTTTCGACTAATAATGTAAATGACTTTACAGATATTTTGTCAAAAATAGCCAAAAATCCTTCAACCACCAAGACAACACCCTGAGAAATTGTCTTGCCCAATTCTCATCTACCTTAAAGGGTTAGTTCATCCAAACATTAAAATTCTTTCATCATTTAGTCACCCTACCAAATAATCTCGTTTTTTTAGTCCATACAGTGAAAGTCAGTGGGTTTCATTGATGTTTTGGACCCCATTTACTTTCTTTGTATGGACAAAAACTGTTGAAAAATTCTTCAAAATACCTTCTATTGTATTCTGCATAAGAAAGTCATAAAGGGTTGGAAGGACATGACGGTGAGGAAATGATGAATTTTGGGCAAACTATCTCTTAAACATATATTAAACATACTAACATAGAACAAAACTCGATGAAAACCCAAAATGGAGAATGACAAGTAAAGAGATAAAGGCAGTTCCATTTGTCCCCAATGTTCAACCACCTAGTCAACATCCAGGCCATTTTGAGAGATGCTGGTTTTGTAACCCAATCCAAGTACAGGAAAATTTCAACCTATGTATGACCTCTTCTATCATATCATTTTCCACTTGGTCAGCAGTTTTGGGGCAATACTTGCTTACTAGTTCCATACTCTGGCCTACTGTTTTCTTTAACCCACATGCTAGGATGCACAAGTTCAGCACAAAGAACAGGACGATCAAGATGGTGAGTGTGATAAAGTGCTGGAGAGTTTTTGTTGTTTCCCATGGCTAACGTACCTGTTTTAATGCAGGCATCACCGGGATGACCTGTAGGCATGTGGCTGAAACGTCCCTCTCTGACTTGACAGGTTTAGCGCAGTACTGTTCTAGAAGAGCTAGGTTACAACTGTTAAAACAACACTCTTCCACAATCCCACGATTTTGAGAACGTCGATTATTCGACCTGCTAGTTGGTCGACCTGCGGGGATACAAAGGAAGACAATGAGTTCAAGACACTTTAGTACTGTTCTGGTTACATGTCAGACAAATTTACTCAATTCTGTCGTCATTTACTCACTCTCATTCCAAACCTGCATTCCAAACCATTATTTTGTCCATGCAATGAAAGTCACTGGGGCCTAATGCTGTTTTGGACTCCACTGACTTCTGTTGCATGGAAAGTTCCACAGAAAAAAAAAGATATACAGCTTTGGAAGGACATGAGGGTGAGTAAATGTTGACAGATTTTTCTTCTTTTGGGTGAACTATCCTTTTAAACTGGTTTGCTGGCCTCCCAGCCTGGGTGATGATTTAGACGGATGGGTCAGATGATGGTTTAGATGGGTTTGGGGCTTTTGTCAACTAGTCAAGTTCGGAGAACAGCTGTCTGACCAGATAACTCTACTGGAAAATCGTGGGTAAACAACTTTAAGCTGGTTTGCTAGTTATTCCTGTTTTAAGCTAGTCTCCAAGGCCAGCCAAAGTGGCGTTTATCTGGGTGTCCAACTAGACATCCAGCATGACTAGCTGAAAAGTGGAAACATTTTTTTTAAAAACTAATACCGAAAACACCAAAATAGACCATCTGACCATCTTAACCCAGTTAAGACTAGGAAACCAGCTAGTTTGAGCTGTTATAGCAAGAAAGAGATTTGGCTCAAACTGTCTAAACCAGGGTTGCAGCCAACGCAGCCCTGCAGAGTTTTGCTTCAACCCTAATCAAACACACCTGAACAAGCTAATCAAGGCCTGAAGGGATACTAGGAAGCTTCAAGCAGGTGAGTTTTTATTAGGGTTAGAGCTGAACTCTGCAGGACTGCGGCTCTCCAGGACCGGAGTTCGCCACCCCTGGTCTAAACAGTCACCATCAAACATGCAAACACGTTCAACAAACCCTACTGACAAGTCATTGTAAATCAAGCTACAGTGGCCTGATTCTATTGTCAAAGCAGATTTCATTATCGATTCATTGACTGGGACTGCGGTTTATAATACAGCCCAAATCTGTGGCATAAAATGGAGTCTGTTTATTTGTTTTCTCGCCTGGACTGATTTTGTTATGCCATCTAATTGAGCTGTTCGAAATGGTTTTCGAAGAATTCGCCGGCAACACGTTCCCAGGAACGGAAGATCGAAAGCCTACAAGTAAGACAGCATGAGAGTTAAAGGGCAAAAGTCTTCGCTTCTGTTTGGATGAGTAAATGGTGGATATCCTTTGACCTTGTCCTTTGCCAGCTCAGCAGAGATAAAGAGAGCATGAAAGAGGGGAAGGGGGAGGGGTAGAATAACAGACTTGGCATGAAAGAGCAAAGATACAGGACACAGTAATGGAGGGGAGGGAGCCGGGCTGGGTAAAGGAAGGAACAATTGATTTTCAGTCAAATATACCACGAACGATTTTCTCTTCTCACAGTCGCAACGTTCTGAAAGGGAGTTCTTGATTGTAGGATGGGAAACATTGAACAAGAGTAGATCTGGTGGATAGAGGGGGGAAAATCTGCGCTGGCCCAAATTGGATAATGATCTTTCGGGGTAGTTAGGCTTCTGCGGCCAAAAGAACACAAAGGCCTTGTCTGTTTGTCAGTGTTGGCATGAGGAAGATGACAAATATTTAAAAAGTTGTGCTCTCGACCCCCTCCTTGCATTTGAGTGGTGTACAACCAGCAGATGTATCTGGATCCAGATTGTACGATCGACAAGCATTGTATTGAACGTATTGGTTAACATCTGTTACGCTAAACTAGTAATGAAGCTGTCTCAATCCATCCAGCCATGTAAGAGGACAAACAACTTTTTTTTCAATTGAGTGTAGCCTGGGAACATTTCTGGAGAGGTGAATGGAATGCCACTTGGGTACTATTACTTTCCCTGGCGGAATGTGCAAGTAAAAAACCAGGCCATTGTGGCTCATTTAGCATCCCTTTCATATGCAATAACAGATATCGCGAGAGAATGCGCCTAGTCAGCACAATCTGCCGAGACTTCGCTCGTAACTCTGGTCATTCGTGACATACAATTGGCAAGGGTTTCCAACTCCTAAGCAAAAGCAAAGAAAATACGATGTGCAAATGTACGTACTGAAATAGAAACCTCTGTCTCCACACACAAACTGTAGTGCGTCCACCAGCTCTCCTCCACATAATGTTTCAGCTGAAGCCACTTCGAAGGCAAACAGGGTTAAAAACAGTATGCATATGGGCATCCGTATGGACCAGTACATCTTTATGACCTGTGGAGATAACGAGTTAAAGTTAGTACAGACAGTTTTAACATGTGCATTTCATTTTTAATGTACAAAGCTGCTCTTTTTATAAAGATCCCATGTATACCTGAACGTACTGTAAAACTGAACGTCATCCTTAAGGAGATATTTTTAGCTTCCTCAAGGCATTGAATTCAGTAAGGCAATACTTCAGTGTGTGTGCATGCATGGCCATCGACTTTTCATTTATCTGCCTGATCACATGGGCAAAATCAGTATGTCAATGTACAGTATGGAAAAAAAAAGCATGTCTTCATGACCTGGAAAGCATGCATAGTAGTTCACAACAGAGATTTTATCAAAGTATTGAATGCATTATTTGTGCATGCATGTTTTTCTAGTAAGTCTTAGCAGCAAATAAAAGGATTTTAGAGTCTAAATATCTTTTAATTAGTAATACTGAACATTTTCAATTTAAATTGCAGTGTTGTTGGTCAGATCTTGAAGAACTGTTATTTGTTTCTTCAGTGCATTCCTATGCAGTTCTTAATACACTATGTGCATGTATGAACACATTGTACTTTTTCAATTATGCATGTAATTTTTCACTAAAAAATATGATGCTTTAAGGTCTAAAGACCCGCTGATCAGTTATCCTCAACATCTTCCTTGGGTATCTGTCATTAGTTCCTCCAGTGAATTAAATTCGCCAATGCAATTCTTCACTGGGATTCTACATGCATGCATCGACTTTTTAATTATCTGCTTAACGCTAGAAGATGAATTGTTATCAAAGATCTTTTATCTCCTCCTTTACACACTTACACAACGTTCAACAAGTTGCAAGACCGCTCAATAAACCCAGCTATCTCATTCCTCACAACTCAGCACATAATTTCCTTAAATCCAGCTCATTTAAAGTGCTGTCGCCCCCTTGCGCAACTTCTTTCTCATGTGCGCGTATCCGGAATAAAGTGTCAAATCAGTTTTTATTTGGAAAGCGCTTTTCAAAATACACATTGTTTCAAAACAGCTTTACAGAAATTCATAGGGTTAATGTTTACAATGCCTTATGGTCCTTATTTAGCAGTTTAGCGCTTTAGAGCTGTTAGCAGTTTAGTGTGGCAAAACAGATCTCCACTGCATTACGCGGATCGTACAAGAGAAAATGTGTCGCAAAATCTCTCCGATCGTGTCCATTTCTGATTTTTAAAATACGATTCTATCTTTGCTAGTCTATAAAAACGATTTATTTTTCTATTTAAGAGAATGTAACTAATGCAATCATCTCCAGATATGTCCAAGATTCCCCAAAGGTTGTAAAAAGATTGTCTTTACCTTATTTATGGAACTGTCTGTTCTCAAGCAGGTATGGCAAACAGAATGATGTTTCAGTTGGTCCTCCATGTCAACATAAAAAAAATAAAAATACAAATAAAAAAAATTGCTGTGCTGTTGTATTTGGTTAAGAAGGTCGGTTTAGTTTCCCCAGTTGGTAGTTAGGTTAGGATGAAGTGTGGAGCTGTCCCAAAAATCAGGCGACAGGCAAAAGTTCTCTGAGAGAAGTATTATATACCCAAACCCGCCCCTTAACACCCCCCTCCGCACCCTGCCCCTCAGGCGCGCATGTCCGTGAGAGGTAAAACTCGAAGCGGTCAGTGGATCTCCAGCAGTCCGGCCGAGTTCCCTGCTGCTGTTTTCCAAGAATTCCAGATCACAAAAAGATCAATGAACATTCGAGAATATGGCATAGCACCTTATTCAAATGTCCAACATTTTCTGTGCGTTCCTAAAATGTAAAGACGTCAAGCAATTATTCCCCAAATGATTTGAACAGCGTATCTAACCCAAATCATAAATAAAGACATGTGCAATTAAAACAGTAAATAAACAGGAAAATAAGTAATACTGTAAAACAAAACGAATGGAAATAAATAAATAAATGAAAAGTACAATATTTCAGAAATGCACACATCAATATCAGTGTATTATCAGTTTGTCTAGGCTGACTACCAGAGTTCCTGACAGGACAGTCGATGTGTATAATTTTACAGAATGATGTTTCAGTTGGTCCTCCATGTCAACATAAAAAAAATAAAAATACAAATAAAAAAAATTGCTGTGCTGTTGTATTTGGTTAAGAAGGTCGGTTTAGTTTCCCCAGTTGGTAGTTAGGTTAGGATGAAGTGTGGAGCTGTCCCAAAAATCAGGCGACAGGCAAAAGTTCTCTGAGAGAAGTATTATATACCCAAACCCGCCCCTTAACACCCCCCTCCGCACCCTGCCCCTCAGGCGCGCATGTCCGTGAGAGGTAAAACTCGAAGCGGTCAGTGGATCTCCAGCAGTCCGGCCGAGTTCCCTGCTGCTGTTTTCCAAGAATTCCAGATCACAAAACGGTCAATGAACATGAGAGAATATGTCTTCATAGCACCTTATTAAAATGTCCAACATTTTCGATGCTTTCCTAAAATGTAACGACGTTTATGTAAATCATAGTTATTCCCCAACAACATCTAAACCAATTCATAAATAAATAAATGTGCAATAAAACAATAAATAAATAAGAAAATAATAAATAGGCCTACTCTAATTTAAAACAAACAAAAGTTCAATATTTCGGAAACGCACACCAATATCAGAGCATTTATAACTAGCCTACCAAAGTTCCTGACAGGACAGTCGATGTGTAAATAAATAATTACAGTATAAAACTGTAATTTACAAACAAGAAAATTTTAATGTAAACCAGTAAATTCAACAATGCACACTGCTATTAAAATCTGGCACAGAGTCCAAACACAAAACACCATCATGGTAACACACCTGATACTTAAATAATGCATTAAACTTTCAACTTTCATCAGAATATGTAACATAAAGCCCAAATATACATAACTAATAACAAAAACTTAAAAAAAAAACATGATTATTTAAACAAAATACTTTCAAATGTGGAGGGTCATGCAGGGAATTCTGGGAATATCAGTTTACAGTTTTTGACTGTAAATTATACATTGATTTGTTATTTTTACTTCTAAAAACTGTAAAAT